TGAAGAAGCACTTGAAACAGAACACCTGAAAAAAAAAAGTCCAAAGAGTGCTATGGAACAAGTGCCACACAGGAAATGATGGGAACCATGAGCTCCATGGAAAATGCTTTCCTTCATTTGCGTCATAGTGAATTTAGGACAACAGAACTGTATGTATATTATTCACAAATAAACATGATTGCGCCAAAGAGATAACTGACTTATAATTGTTTTTCCCATCTATGTGACCCTTTCTTTTTTTTTAGCTTACTGGTTGGGTCCAAAGGATATCCATAATTTGGATGTTTTGGGAAATCTAGTTCAACAGTGTGAAACCAGCAAATCCCTGTAAAGGGGAGTTTCATGAATAGAGTTTTGCCTTTTTTCCCCCTCCCTTTTCCTCTCTCCATCTGATAGTAGAATGACTTAATACCGAGTATCTGGGCTACCATTAAGGGACTTGGAGAAAACAGATTAACAGGTAAGAAATGAGCTATGTTAATGGAATATGCATTATAAAAAGGTGAACTGGTCCTTTTAGACAGTCTAAGAAAGGAGGTTATATTGTTTTCATGTGCTATGCCTACATATAATTTATAGGAAAATAAAAACTTACTAATTGTTTTTACATCTCTCTTTTTTTTTTACAATAATTATGGGCTTGCTAAGGTATGGAAGTGACCCAATAGTTACAATTGTGACCTCTAAGTTATTGTTAATTTTACTGTCAGTATGTGCTTCACATCTCCTTCTTAATGGTATGCTAATTGTACAGCAGGATGTCAAATTCTCCAACATACAGATTCCCTATTTCAATTACAGCTAAGTAAATCTCCATTACTAATGAGTAAGCATTTCTTTTCCACGTACATTTGCATTATAATGGACATTTTCTTTATGCACTAAAATTATTCTTCCCTTGACAACAACTATATATTTTATTCTACAGTAAAGGCTACGACATGATGATTCATTCCTTTCTGTTGGGTTTATCTGTATTTAAATTGTCAAATGTTCTGGATAGCCTGACATTTTCTGTCCCATGTTATTTTTCTGTACTTCCAGAATAAATTTATGTATTTGCTTTAAGGCAACCTACTTAAATCACAAAAAAAGTAAGCTTACGTGTCGGACATAAATTAAGCCGTATTTTCAAAATTGTTGCATTGTTTCATTCATGTTGCTGAGGAATCTCAAGTATTCACGTCAGTGCAAAGTGACCTTTATGATATAATGTTTGACTGATTTGAATATAAAGAACAAGTGACCACAAGTGACCCATATCATTGCAAGATCACACTCTGCTTAACAGAGCATAGCTCTTTAGCTATTAAGTACAATCCCCCAAACAGACATTTGCTGCCCTGCTGATGCATGTATCTAGAAATGCAATGGGCAGCTGAGTAAAATGAAGGGGGAAGGCCTCCTGTTCCATCTGAGCTATGCAGCTTTGCTGCCAAATCCGCTCCCTCTTGGGGGTTGTGGCCAGTCACTGGGTGCCGCTGAACTGCTGAACTTGGGCAGTCGGGTGCTGTCGGCGGAGGATTCCCTTCGTCTGCCAGCGCCGTGACCCAGGAGGCTTTCCCTGCCCTGTGTCAGGAAATAAGGTTATTGGCAAATTGAGTCCCTGTGGCAGAGGTCCTTCCTTCATTCTGCATGGCCCCGGGAAAGTGTATCGCCTTTTATACACAAATAAGGACTGTGAGTTTTATTGATAAAGTGATAGTTTAATCTTTGATAATGTGCAGCAAAGAAGTTCTTACTTTGATTTTGGTGGGGCCACTGCCTATGCAGCAAATTATGTCACAGGGATCTTTTTTAGATGCCCAGAGAAGTTTGTGTATCAAAGAGAGTGCATTAATTAACAGTCATTAATATTCTTGACAATTTCTAAGTTGTCCTGGTGGTGGGTGTGTATCTGGGGAAGAAGATGGGTGTTGGGTTCATTTATGATATAAGTACATGGGATAGTTTAAAGAAACAAAATGTGGTAAAAGCATTAGGTAGCATTCCAGAAATGCAAGAGGAAATGTATGCAACGACATGTTAGAAGTAACAGATTGATTTCCTGGTCACTGTGCATGAATTCTTTCTAGCCTTGTGTATATCCTAATAATCGGATGGCTTACAGTATAGCTACAAAGTTTGTTTTGTTTTTATTTTGAAAGGCCTACGGTATGCAGCCTTTTTCCCAGACAGCAGCAAAAAACAAGGTGAACAATTTTTGCACTATGTGGTTTTGAATTCTGTCATATTTTCTATTACGTTTCTGTCTTCCATTAGGATAGCTTAGTTTACTATATTAACCACCACCATCATCCATATCACTTCCAGTTCTGAGTTTAGTCTACATTATGTATGTATGTAGTTTGATGATTTTTTCTCTCTCTCGGGGGCTGGAAGTGGTTACTCACATGTTACAGTTCAAGATGTTGTTACAATGGTTGCCCTTTAATCAGTCATTTTCGGAGTGGCTGATGACACCTGGTGGTGTATTTTGTAAATGCAGACTTAACCATGTTTGCAGCTGGCGGAGAATTTTGACCTGTCCTACCCCGAGCACTGACAGTCAGAGTTTGAGCCATTTAAATGAATCTGATCTCCTGCATGAAAAAAATATCTTGGGAGCACATTCTCCTCCCATTCATACTTATGTAAACCAAGAGAAGCAATAACATTTCATTGCTGTTGGAGCAAAATTAATGCCTCTGACCTTGCTGTTGAAGTCAATAGTGTAGTTGTTCACAAGGGCTATGTACCTTTTTTATTTTCTTTATTAACTTTTCAAATATATTGCATAAATGAATGTTTTATGTATGCTTACGCACTAAATATACTGCATTAAACTAAAAATCTTTTCTGTGAAAAACTTGGGTGATTATATTTAGAAATAATGATGTTTTCAAAACTTTACAGTGTGAATACTGAAGGAAGTTTCTTCTGGTGTTTTATTTAACGTCATGGTTTCTGGCTTGAGTGTATGATTTTTCTTGCCAGCAAGTATATTTCCGTATATGTTTATGAAATTCCACATCTCTTTGCCAGCATATTTCCTAACAATGGAATATCTGGGATATACCAATATGTAGCAAGTATGAATAAAAATTAAGATTCCTGGAATCCTGATTTTGTGGTGAAATTCCTCAGTAGCCAGGACCTATTGGGGTCTTCTCAGTTTGATTTTTGTCGGGATAGATCTTTAATCAAAACTGATTGTTTTTCTTGCTTAATTGGCCCTTTACTGCCATCTGATTTTTTTTTTTTTTTTGGTTTCATAAAGATAAGTATTACACTTAATATGAAAGAAATGTAAAGCAATACTTTATCCTGATTTTTCTCAGTCTACAGGCAAATCAAGTACATTGACAATGCAGTATCTTTAGTTGTTTCTAAAATATCATAAAGAAAGGGTGCTCAAAGTGCACTGCCACTGGACTGTGTAGAAGGGGAAAGATTTGGTGAAACGAGAATTTGTTCTTTATAGCCACATTTGGAGGTATTATTATGCCATTCTGATATATACAGAATCGGCAAGTAAAATTAAATGAGGAGAAACGATAGAAGAGTCAAGTTACACTGTTAATCTGAACAACAAAGGAGGGCAAAGTTCTGAGTTCAGAAATCATTGGTTAAGGGTTGTTTGGGGTTTTTTTCCTCCTAAACTTACTTCCCCTGCACTCCAGCATTCATGGAGTATAAACTCCAGTGTAGGCAATCTGGGTTGAGGCTGTCCCTAAATCTCTTGCATTCATGGGGGCTCTGGTCAGATGAATTATGTACACAACACAGCTGCTCTTCAGCATGAGGGACTGCAAGTGCCACTTCGGTGTAGCACTTCTTACGCTGCTCCATTGGAGGAGACCTGTCACACGAGGACTTAAATGACCGTAGTTCCCAGGCACGGGGAAAATGAGAATCAGACAAATGCCAGTTCTGGCAGTTGGTGGGAATGGCTAACTCCACCTTTACAGCATGACGTTAAAAATAGCTTGATCAGATTTTTATCAAGATCATTTATTGGAGAACAGGAGTAATTTTTTCAGAGATCTGAACCCATTGAAAAGTGACTTTTGACATGAAAAGGCATTGGGAGTTTTATCTGAGATATGACAGCTGTTTTGTCCTCTAAGTGTAGTGAAAAGTGTGGCGTTTCAGATAACAAACATAAGCATTTAACAGTGGCCACTGGCAATTCTGCTTGGTTTTAGTACTATAGATTCCTAGAGCAAAATTCTACCTCCAAATTATATGCATGCTGCTCTCATTTACTTCAGCAAAGCTTGTGCACATGTTTCAAAGGTCAGAATTTGGCCGTTGGGGCTGAATTTTCAAGGAAGAGTGTATTAAAGACATCTGTGCATCAGCAGAACCATATCCTTTGTCTTCTGTAGAACATTTCAGGACTAAGCCTAGTGCTATTGGGCACTGCAAGTGAAACATTTTCTGTTTTTTGAATTGCTTTGGGATTGCTTAGCAGAAACATTTCTTGCAGTAATAGGTTCATGATTTCATTTATTTCTTGTAACTTAATACTTTGATGCTGAAGAGTTGTCAGTTTTAAGAGAGTAAAGACTGGAAGGGGCTGCCCTTCAGAAAATTACAGTTGAAAATACAGTGTAACAATCAAAACGAGGAGAAATAGTCCAAGGAAATAGGTATGGTCTGTTGAGGTGCACAAACTTTTGTTTGTAGTCTAATACAGAGAGGTCAACAAATGTTTTATACAAAGGTAGAAAACAAACCCACTTTTCATTGTGGACAGAGCTCATATTTGAAATTGTTACTAATCAGACACTTGAAAAAACTAAAACTTGGCATTCATATTCTATTGGAGTTAGTGTGTATTAAATTGATGAAGATCTTTAAGCATGTAGGTTTTCCCCTGTTTTTTAAACATTATACACTTCTTTAAATGTTTATAATGTCTAATTGCTGCTGGATTTCAAGACATATCAATTTTGTTCTTAGTTCCTGCAGATTCTGACAGAATGTCATACCGAAATATTTTGTATTTTTTGTAGGACTGGGAAACAGAAAATCATGACTGGTATTGTTTTGAATGCCATTTGCCTGGAGAGGTGTTGATATGTGACCTGTGTTTTCGTGTGTATCATTCCAAGTGTTTGTCTGATGAGTTCAGGCTTAGAGACAGCAGTAGTCACTGGCAGTGCCCAGTTTGCAGGGTGAGTACCTATGAGATTTCATGTGCTGATTAGAGGATTGATATTCATTAATAGATTCATTAAGGTGTCCAGATGGTCTGGCCAGGTTAATGGATAAAGAACTGAATATTGAAACGATGGTACATAACTAGAGCATCTATACAGAGATACCAAAATATGGTGCATGTAGCAGATGGTCATTTTTGAAGACTCCAGCAAGTTTTACTTATGAATTTGAACACACACAGTATACTGTGTGGGAATGTGTGTACGTATGTATGCCATGTGTGAATGCAGTATATTGTGAAAATCTTCAACACGAGTAAACAAATTGCTGTATAAGATGCTACTGTTTTTACTAACATCATTTTAATGAATCATAATGTAACTTTTTTTTGTATTTTGGTGACTGCATTCTTAATATTTTATTGGAATCATATTGTACATTATAAAGCCACAATCATGTTACTGATGAGGGCAGTATCAAAAAATAGGGGGTGAAATCCTGCTTCTCATTTAGTTCTGTGGATTCTATTGGTGCAAAAAGGCCAATCTGGATTTCACCCATAGCATGCATATCTATATTGCTTTTTCTTTAAAATTACTATACTTATGAGTGTGGTAGGGAGACAGCAAAGAGTATTTTTTATATACTTTCCAAGAATGAGCAGGTATGTTGTCTACATGTCGTTAGAAGACAAAACATTCTAGTCAGGATGGTGCTTACTGGTACCTGGCCTTGAATCAGCCAGATACTTCTCCTTAATGTTGTCATCTCCATGTCACCTCCCCCAATGGAGCACATTTCTAGGCTTCCTTAAATGGAGGGAATTATGCATATGAATGTTTAAGATAAAATTATTGCTATAGAAAGGCATAAAACTGCTAGTTGCACTCTGCCTTGGATCGCTGGAGGGAGAGGAAGTTCCCTGGCTAAAAGCTTAGATCAAGCTGTAGGGCAGCAGACTGACCTTCAGATGATCTGTGCTGCAAGGAATGTAAGGGTTCGGGCACTTCGTAACGTGGAGAAGCAGTTTGTGAAAACACGTGGATTGTTTTGTTTCAAAACAGCACTTTCTGACTGCCGTTACCTTAGAACCAGTTGTAAAAAACCTGTTGCCTCAGATTGGGAGCTCTCAAGGTTTAGGGAAATAGCAAGAAAATTGAGCCTGCCTCAAGGAAGCAGAAAGGAATGAAAAAGAAGTAGTGGCAGGGAAAAAAACAGTTAAGAATAAGGATATGTACTGTATCTCTCCATACTGAATTACTAGCATTAATTTAGCTACTCAATATTCCCTCTGTTAAAAAAAAAAAAAAAAAAGCTATATAGGTGAAGTGCTTTCAGATTTTTAAATAAATCTTTTTAATAATTGTTGGTTCTGGTAATAAGTGTTGATCGTTCTTATAAATAGTTAAAATTTGGTAAACTGGGTCCAGTCTCCACTCTAGTTTACCAGTAATTTTAGATGACATCTGGTAAGAGTAGGGAATGTAAATAATCCACCTTGTATATAAGGTAGCTTATAACATCTATCTTGTAACATGGATGTCGTCTGAGGGGAAATGCTGAATCATTGCATGAAATATACACAGATACGTAGCGTGGTCAGCTTTGAGAACAGTTTGACTTTCATCCTGAAGCCTTGAAATCCTTTATGGCAATGATATTAAACAAAAGTTTACCTTGAAAAAAATCCTGCGAAACTCAGACCATGTTCACTGTGTCTGTCTTTCTGCATATTGGTTCCCTTTTGTTATACAAAGACTAAGGAGAGGTTTTGGGGGCTCTTAAATTCTTCCTGCCCCAGAGATCTTTGACTTGCTCAGTCCCTCAGATGATGATCAACCTATTTTTGTGAATATTGCCATTTTTAATGCCATGGCATCCTTTTTCCCCCTATGCTGGCAGCTCCTATTTTCCTTATAATTAATCTGAATCACTTCAAGCCCTAATTCTGCACACTTGGACTAGGGAGGTTTGGACAGTCCCTGTAAGCAAATGAGGTCTAGTTTGGCATGGGAGTTAGCATCCTTATGTCAGGCTTCAGTATTCTACTGCTACTTTCTCCCCACCTTCATAGGAAATGACTGCTCTAATTTTATTTTAAAAGCTGGAGAGAGGCCTATATTCAAAAAAACTATGGTAATTGGCAGAGCCCTGGCTGATATCCAGAGGATGTAACAGAGCTTAACTATCTTGCGTAAGGGCAATGGGATTTACTTTGCATTATCAGCAGTAAATATGTACGTTCAAGAAAAGTAATAGCTGGGACAAAGAGATGCATATATTTTCATACTTTATTCTCGTAACTGGACATAGCACTTTTCACCTGGGGATTTCAAAGCTCTTTACAAAGGTGAAGTAAAAGTATGTTTGAAACCTAATATATTGGGAGAAATAATCTAAGAACACTTCATTCTTATGTAAAGATTGCTTCTGTAATGCTGCCAAGGTCAGCAAGCCTTTGGATTATTCATTTCACAATTGCTGGTTGTACTAGTTCAATCAACCTGCGCAGCTTTATCTTGCACACTTGACTACTCAGAAACATTTTATAAAGGACATTGCCAAGGATTTGTTCATAACTTTAAAATATTTTCCCTCCCATAACGTTTATAACAGTCCCTTGCAAACCTTGCTCTGAACTCTGTTTCCGTGCTGCATCCATAAGCAAGAATTTCCAGTTCCTGGCTTTTTTTTTAACTTAACGGTACCAATCTGAATATTCTGTACCCTACATAATTCTCAGCAGGAGTCAAGAGTCAAACAAAGTTCAATTCAAACCACATTGCAGCGATTGAAAATTTTCCCTGACTGCTGAGTAGTCATTGTCTTAAGTGAAATAAATTAGTATTATCAGCAAAATTCCTGGTAGACAGGTCACAAGAGAAAGACTCGATATTGAATGAACTTAGGGGTTACATTCCCCACTACTGGAATGGTCCATTCAAGACAGGGTTAGTCAACTCGATCTCTGAAGGATGCAGGAGACTTCTACATTTATTGCTGCTCTTTGGTTAGATAAAAGAGGAAATTAATTTTCTCCAGCTGTTCATTTAGAACCTAAGGACTACAAAAAGTACTGCAGAAGTACTAGGGCTTTTTGACGCGTAAATAGATATATACAAAAATCAGAGTGGCATAATATTGATCACATGTTGGGGTAACTGACTATTGTTATTTCTTTTTTAAAAAAATACAAATTTTAAAGTATTTTTGTAGAAAGCCAAAATTATGCATGGTGACATATAGTTTGTCCCAAAGGAAAAGATTTTGATTTGTGAAATAAAAAGAAAGAATTATTCATATGGCTTAACTTGACTACTAAATTTTTTACAGTCATCTGGTCAGAGATTGATCTTCCATGCGTGTGCTCTACAAGGAATTGTAATCAATTTACCTATCATAGTGTGTGTTTCAACATTTCTGGGTTTTATATATATGAGAGTAAAGTAAACAGTAGAGCTTAAGATATTAAATGCTGTGGTGATAAGTATTCTATAAATAGGCTATTTCTGAGTTCTGGTACTGTACTAAGCATTTCATAGAGTACATAGAAATACACCATCATGCAGTTCACTATCAACGTCAGACATAATTTGGCAAGTGAGAATGACAAACAGTAGAAAGTTAGAAGCACAGAAAGATGAAGGTTACTTAAGTGAAGAAACTCAAGTACTTAGATCAGAGGTTTTTAGGTACTAGCTGTCAGTCAAGATGGTTAATGTAAAATACAAGGAAGGAAGAAAGAATATGGCTCTGTTGACTTTATGGGGTGTTATGATAGGAGTTTGTTAGGTAACTGTATGATGAAACATGTTCTATAAACAGGATTTGGCATAATCACACAAATAATAGCCATGGATTGGTGGGTGAAGCAAAGTCCTAGTATAGGACCAGTATTAACAGCTCATGGTTCAGTGTGCAGAGCCCGCACCTGGGGAGGTGTTAGTGCTTGGTACTCCTGTTCACCTTGCAGCCACACGCACCCTTGAGTAAATCAGGGAGCCAGCAGAACTGGGCACTGTGTAAGGCGTATTTAATAAAAACATAAAGGAATTTGTCCACAGCAGTGCTAAAACTGGGAAACTTCCACATAGAGCCTCCTACCACCTTCTCTGTGCACGTAAAAGCATATTTAATTCATATGATGCTTCATATTTAGAAGGTGCTCAGTGCACCATACAAGTGCAGACCGATTTGTGGATTTAACTGTAACATTTTCAAAAGCACCTAATGCTTTGAAAAGTCTAGTTTAACTGTATATAGTCTTGAAAGAGGCAGGTCTTGCACCATATTCTGCTCATGTAGGTGCTTTTCTGTATGCTACTTAGGGCATACAGCACACTGGTTGCTCTGAGACCCATCCCGTGTGCCTGCATACCTTTCTTAATGGTACAGGAAACCTGAGGACCTGAGGGTTGAGAGTTTGAGAGGGCAGCAGAGCAGTAAAGCTTTCCATATGTAGCACCAAATTCCTCTGGTAATTTAAGCCCTAAAAAAATCCAAGGGCCAGTGTGTAAAGCAAAGAGTTTCTAAACAGCAGTGGTGAATGTATGTTAGACTCATGCACATAGTTCCCCTTTGCAGATATACCACTGGAAACACGAATTGCTTCTGAAAATGGAGCTAATGCCTTAGAAACATGTATCTGCCATTGAGCCGCCTTCACCTAATCCATCACTGAACTGAAATGAAGCTCTTTGATGTGTGTATACACATGACAGTTGAGGGAGGAAGGAAAAAAATATTTGTTAGTGGGAGATGATAGGGAAACCTCTTTACATGGAGAAAATGTAATTTAAACGCTTATAGCTAGACAGAATGCTGGCATTAACACCTTGCATTTCTTAGAGTTTCTCTGTTTTTTCCTCTTCAAATGAGAGATTGCAGCAACTGCAGCATAGTGACCATTGTCACCCTGGGAGTTGAGAGCTACATGCTAACTCAGAGTGCAAAGGATAGTCATGTCCATCATAAACAGTGCTACTTCAGGATGGAGTGTTTCTTAGCAGTACCCCTCACTGCTCCTAACCTTGTGTGGTTTGTAGTTTTCTAGTGAGTTCCTGCACTATAAGCATGTCAGAATTCCTAATTAACTCACACCTGCACAGTGCAATATATTGCTACCTACTTTAACTGCTAAGCAGTATTGTTAATCTGGAATATTGAATACAAAAAGCAATGTAAATCCAAGCCTCAGGTACCAGCTTCTAAGAAACAGATGTGCTGCAGAGAATAAGGTATATATATATATCTTTGCCCACAAGCAAAAACTTAGGTTGCAGCGTCGGCCTTCCATCTACCAGATCTCATTAATCTTCTACATGAGGATTACTATTGTGAAGGTTATTACTTCACTCCTGTATCCCCTACATAAACACATATGCCTGACCAAGCCTTTCAGTTTACCAGGATTCAAAGCAGAAGGGTTGCAGATTTCTCTAAAAATTGGTGACTTAAGGATCATCCTTCTTGTGGGTTAACCCCAGTAGGCTGCTAAGCACCACACAGCCACTCGCTCACTTCTCCCTAGCTCCCAGTGGGACAGAGGAAGAGAAAAAGATAAGTAAAAGCAGGAAAACTTTTGAGTTGAGATAGAACTTGTTCAATAAGTGAAGAAATGGAAGAAGAAAGAAAACAAAATAAAACAAGTGATGCAGAGGCCTCCATGGGCTGATGCCCAGCCAGTTCCCAAGCAAAAGATGGCTAACTCCCTTAAACCCCTCCTCTCCCTTTCTATTGCTGAGCATGGCGTTATATGACATGGAACATGTCTTTGGTTAGTTCAGGTCATCTGCCTGGTTGTGCCTCCTCCCAACCTCTTGCGTACCCCCCAGTGTCTTCACTGTGGGGGTAGAGTGGGAAACAGTGAAGGCTTTGACACTGTGCAAACTCCGTTCAGCAAGAGCTAAAACATCAGTGTGTTATAAACACTGTTTTGGTCACAAATCTAAATGACAACACCATATAAGCTGCCATGAAAACAATTAACTCCATCCTAGCCAGACCTAGCACAATCCTATATTAAGATAATTTATCCTACATATAGGATATCTACAAGTAAAAAGATCCTGGTAATCTTTTGGGGCTGGATTGAATCTTAGCAGTCTCCTGGAAAGCAACTTGTTTAAGTAACAAGGTTTGCAGTAGCATATCTTAGTAGATCTGACTGTAGGAAAAGATAGGCAGTGGATCTTGCCACAAGCCACCATCTCTATTTTTGTTTCCCAAAAGTAGGAAATTAAAGGAGCTAATTTTCATTTGTACTTGCTTCTATATCACTCTGGCTATAAAGGGACCTGAAAGTGGGTATATTTTCTTGTGTCAGAGCAATATAAATAGATTTTATGCAAATCTTGTCCCCCATCTAGTATTATCTATTTTCTTGCTTTAAGTGGCTCTAGGTTGATTTCTCTGAGAATGCTACTAGTCTTCAAAATAAAAAGTAGGGTTTTTTTAATTAAAAAATTACACATTTTCCATTATAGCTTCTAAAGAATGTGTGAGTAGTACCTCCTAAAGGGCTAATCTTTGTTGAAAAGTGAATAAAGCAGTTGGATTATAATTTGCTTTCTACAAAGGGTGAGCAACCTTGCCATAAAAAGACATTTTGCTCACTCATAGGCTCGGATTCCCTAAATTCATTATCTTACAACATTTAGTAGAGGAACCTGGAGATCAACTTTTTCTTAAAATAAATCTATGTAGGGAATTGAAGAAAAAGTCGAGAAATTCAGGTTTGCCTGAATTGGCAAGTTAATTATATCATTTTCATTGGTGCTTAAGATGGTATTAGTTGCTGACATCAATAACGATACAAAGCCAGCTGTCTTTCTCATGATCTGAAAGATAAGACTGTAAACCATCTATCTTAACACAGTCTCTTACAAACTGGCTTGCCCAGCAGGGCATGAAAAACAGTTCACATGAATTCTGAAATACTTTAAAAGGATGATAAATTCAGAACCGTGTCATAAAAAGAAAGGACTAGTCAGTGCAAGTGAATTTTATTGTGTCCTAATAAGTTTCAGTCTTTTAAAATGCTGTGTCATTAGCAAGCATACAGCACTCCAGTGCCTGACATGACAAAATGACAGCAGCGTTTCATAATGCAGATAATCTAATGCACATTTGGGTTTGCATATGCAGTAGCAATGTTGGTTTATGCAAAACTGAATAGGTGAATTGAATTCCAGCAGAATGCACATTCTCACAGCAGAGGAAGTAAAACATGAATATACAAAAAGTGATTCAGACATACAGCACAGGATAAAATTCTGTCTCATTCCTGAGTTTGGAAGGAAGGTCAGGGAACCATTGATATGAAAATTATGCTTAAATGCACTGTAAGTGTTAGAAAGACCTGGTGCTGGCCCTTTCCACAATAGTGAATTTTACCCAATGGTGGCAGTGTCCTGTCAGGAAAAAGCTATAGTGTTGTTATGTATACTGTAGTATCTGTATAGATTCATGACTGAACCGATATTTCAGCACAGTTTGTAATGATTCTATGCATACTGTTAAGCAATCAAATAAACAGCTTCATTGGTAGCGACGTGTACAATTTTGATTTAAGAAGGAGGCAGTAAGTACAATCCTGAGATGTACAGGTTGCACACTTGCTGTAGCACATGGGCCAGCCTGTGATTTTCAGTGTCTTCAGTGTCTTGAAGGAGGAATATAAGCAGAGGAGACACAATCAAATCCTATCGTTTTTTTCTTCGCTAATTTGTAATCTTTACTCTTGCCAAGTAAATGTGTAAAAGTAGTTGCTCTGTACTCAATGTGTCTGCTCCCTCTATATGTTCAGAGTCATATATAAGTAATTCAGTAAAAATAGCACACTTCTAGTGATTGATAATTCATAAGCTTCATACCTCTTTTAGCTACCTATTAGGACACGGATTCTGTTTTTTCTTGTGTTTGCTAAGCAACAGTCATCTGCGCAATTATCTGGATCTTGCTAAAGACCATCAAAATTTGAGGATGCAGGTGTAACTGAGCCAGTTTGGTCCACACAGTTCATATACAGGTGGTGATGTGAGGCACGAGAAGGGGAGAGCTCAGCTTGGCACTCAGTGCATTTGGAGGTGTGAGGAGGAGTAAACATTTTTGCAAGAGATGTAAGCAGTTAGAAATCACTTCAGGATAATAAACCTGGAACCCATGATGTTGTTTCACTGTGCTTTTGTTTTGGAGAACTACTGTAGGCAAGAGCAAGGAGGAGACAGCACTTTTCAGCCAGCTGTTGTAAGGCTATGCAAATTGCACACAGCTGCTGTGACCGGGAATTGGAAAGGCTGGTTTCTAAGAGCATGCTAGGCATTTGCAGAGAGCCACCTTCTCTTTAGCAGCATGTTTTCTGTATGCAGTGCTTCCCACTAGCCTGGATTGACTTTGAAGGGTGGGGACAAGTCTCTGTACTAGTCAAAGATGAGGGGGAAAAACTCTGGATCCTGAACTGCTAAAAAGAGGCAGTATGTGTTCCAGAATCTGGATTAGATTTTGTGAGGAAAGAACCACAAAAATCAACAACTGCTATGTTCCTCGAGCAGTAAAAGGTGCTCCGAGTTTTTCCTGGCTACAGTCTATTTCACTTTCTCCAGGACGGTGTCATTTTGCCTAGTAAGCACTTAATTTGTAGATGGTACAGGATATTCTTTTAAAAATAATTTCATATTTTACTGAAAATATTAATGCCTTGCTAATAAAAAGACCATTAAATAGATTTTAAACTGCTCCCTAAAATGCCTTTCTTCATTGCTTTATTCTAATTAGACACTTTTTTACATGAGAAGTTTTGACAAAGTATTATGGATACAAGTGGAAATAAACCCTGTATTTCTTTTGTAGCTGCAGTCCTCAGCCCAAACATAATTCAAAGCAACATATATAGTTGTTGTAACATATTAGTGTTACTGATTTCCCAGAAAAGATTTTCCCTAAAAAATTGTGTGACGTGATTCAAAGTTACCTTTTCAAATAATATTGTGATAACAGAGAAAATTTTTATTGGATGAATTTTGAAGTCAAGTTTAAAATGATAATATGATCCTGTTTTTCTTTGACAGAGTATCAAGAAGAAAAACACAAGTAAACAAGAGATGAGCACATACCTGCGATTCATAGTCTCTCGTATGAAGGAGCGGGTGAGTCTGAAACAGGGAAGTGTATTGGAGTGTTGGATTGCACTGTAGAAGATGACCATCTGTGACTGTGCAGGGAGGAGGGCTGTAAGAGGGTATAATTTTATTTCCCGTGTCATAAGCGATGTGTGTATTTCAACATACACTTACCATGTCTCATTGCTTGGATTAGTATCATTCTGGCAGGAGTAGTTTGTGCCATGGGCCTGTGACTCCTCTGAAATGGACATTTTTCAGGTTTGAGACACATGTAATCTGTCAGATTGTGGATCTGCTGTATATTCTCCACCTTGTATGTTTTCCGTCTGAAATATTCCAAACGATTGCATTTTTTAATCTTTTTTTTTGGTGTCTTAAGCACATACTAAATGCAGTAACTTACACTGTCTCGTGATCCTTTCAGGCTATAGATCTAAACAAGAAAGGAAAGGACAACAAACACCCAATGTATAGAAGGCTGGTGCACTCAGCTGTTGATGTTCCTACTATACAGGAGGTAGAGTGATTTGCTTTCTGACTTCCGTACTGTTTATGGTGTCTTTTAACAGTGAAGATAAACCTTAAGGACTAAAACACTAATCCTGTTTAATTCTCCTTATGATCAGTATTTCAGTATTGTATCCAGCATTGGATATGGGAGCTTAAAATTTCAAACGTTTCCTCATAAATAGGTAACTGAGTAAAATCATTCTGAGTGGTGCCTAGTTTTTAGACATAGAGTATCCTCAATTCCTTTTGTACTAAGGTTGAAATCTTTAGGGAAAGTACACTTTATCTAAGTCACTGAATATTGACTTGAGTGCCCATGTTTGCCTATCTGGCCCAACGTTTTTCACCATACTCCAATTTTAGTCATTAAGGCCTTGTGTAGGTGGCAACTTTATAAACATTAAATGATTCATAAAGAACCAGTCGTTTTGTTGATCATGAAAAAGCAAGGGTCACTTAAACATCTGTTTTGCATTAATTGTTCCAAAAATAAAGTACTAGTAAATATGTTGCCCTTTTTTTCTGAACCAAAGGTCTCACCATGACTCATATAAATCAGCTGCACATGACCAAAATGAACAGCGTATTCATCTTTTTTCATTGCTGCAACTGGATTACTATGCAATGCTGCAGAATATATTGCCCTTTACAACCATAGATGTGAAAAGCCTTTGTTTTATTATTGTTATTGAAACAGATGGATAAAGAATAGCTTCACTGGCAGTTTCGGAGACAAACAGTACTGACTGGCTTGAAGTACTGGCAACACTGGTTGAGCCTGAAAATAGGTCAGGCCTTCCTTTCACTGGTTCACTTTCACCTGCTTCCACAGAAGTTCTTTTGGCCTTGATAACATCCTAGAAACTGATGATGTTTTATGTGACAACTGGAATTCTCATAGGTGTTCTTGACAGAGCACAACTGAAAATGCTGCATTCCTTATCAGACAAAATCCTTATCAGACCATACTAGGAGCATGAACTGCATGGCTCCATGTAGGCATTGTTACGAGTTTGGAAGACTAAGACAACCAGGCTTCATCAGAAAACACTGACTGTCAGGGGAAGATCCTAGGAGTATAAAAGCAGTCAATGTTGATTTGAAACTAGCTGGTATTTTAAGGTACAAAATCTTCACCTCAGGGAATATCTTTTTCTTTTTTTCTAAACTTAGTCAGGTCTTAAAGCACCTGTTCTACTTCTGGGCATTGCATAAAGGGACCAATGCAGCCGGTGTTCAGGTACTAACAAATTATGTCAAAGAGTTGTAAGTATTCCTTCTGTATGTAGGAAAGGCAGCGTCTGATCTGTGTTGCATAATGGAGATTTCTGTGAAAGCTTCCTACATAAAACATGTTCAGCACCTGAACAGTTTTTTCATAGCTCTATGTTTTCTTTTGTGTAGAAAGTAAATGAAGGAAAGTACAGGAGTTATGAGGAGTTCAAAGCAGATGCTCAGCTCCTTCTACACAATACAGTGATTTTCTATGGAGGTAAAGTACTACATTTACTGCTTGCTTTATCTGATTTATCTTTATCTGTAGGAAACTCACAAGTTCAGGATTGAATTTGGTATTAGATAATCTTAAGCATGGATGAGGTCACTTGAGAGCCCTTAAAAATCAAAGTAAGCTGCAAGAGGACTTTGCAGGGTCTTTTCTGGGCCACCTACTACACAACTGTTTTCATCCTGTCTGGCTAAACCTGTTAGTGGGAATTTGCACCTTTGCCATCCTGTTTCTTCTGCAGCCTAAGTCATAAGTCGGTCTATACTGCAGTTTTCTGCCAGTATACATAAGTTGTTCTAGAGTGGAAAGAGGTCTGATCTCTGATGTGCTGTGACAGCGGAAACACGTACTATAGACACGTTTTTCACTCATGGGAAATATCTGCCATATTGTGACAGCAAATATAGCTGCATCCACACTGTAAATGTCCTGCTGGTGCAGTGTGTGGCGGTACAGCCATCAGAGAAGCTGTCAGCCACTGGGAAAATAATAAGTGACTGTTTGATATGGTGGGACAGTCTGATTGAAAGTGCAAAAACACCACCACCGTGTCCAGAAGCTATAGCCAGGTCCTGTAACAAAGTTCTCCAGAGCCATCATTTCAGGAAGGATGTGGTTCTCCCCTGCAGACATGGCCCACAGCAGGGACACTGGGAGGAGGGTGGGACCAGTCTATTTGCAGCATCAGAAGATCCACACTGTTGTTGGTAGGGGGAGATGTGAGTCTGCTAACAGAGAAATACACAGGTGTAAAGGGAAACACGTAGTGATAAATAGTCTGTGAAGCATTACTCTGAGTAGAAATACTTATATGATTGTACCTGTGTTCTGTCAAGTGGTGATAGCAGAGTGCCGTGTTTTAGGACAATTGCAGCGTGTCATTGATACACTAGCAGAGAAAGAAACTGGATCCATATTAGGAGCAACCCTGTCTCCCTGTTGGTGGTCCTCAGATGTGTACTTGCATTGTTCAGTTTAAAAGCTCCCAACAGTATTTTTGCATATAACTATGAAAAAGAAAACAAATAGAGAACTGATTGTTAGAAAATCTTAAATGGAAGGGTTATCCAAGGGACTAAATTATGTTTTTTATTCTCAAGCAAGACAATTATAGCATGAAAGTCATAGCAATGACAGCTGCAAATCTTTGTGAGCACTGTGATCATACTGTGTTTGTTCATACCATTTTTTTTTATTTTATAGCGGACAGTGAACAAGCTGATATAGCAAGGATGCTTTACAAAGACACATGTCATGAAGTAAGTAGTATCAAGTATCCAAGATGTAGACAAGATACTTGATTTTCATTTCAGAATCTAAGAAAATTATTCTTCGTATTACAAAAATTAAAAGGGTGAGAAGTTTGTTACAAATTTTATAACTTTCTAATAACTGATTCAGAATTCCTTGATTCCTTTTTCTTTTTTTTTTTTTTTTTTTTTTTTTTCAATTAGACTGTCGTTTGGAAAATACTAATATTCAAATTTTAGTTTTGAAAATAATCTAGTAATGCATAGTTGGACTAGAAATACTTGCTAATATAAATTGAACCTGAGGTGAGATACCTACCAAATTCTGTAATTGGCTTTGAAACATTTCTCAACATTCACAGGAGACCAAAAAACAAAGCTAGTGGAGCTGGCACACTTTCTCCATTTGTACAGTTGAATTACTTCTTTCAGAATGTACTTTAAATATTTGATGAATTTAAAGAACTATTCTTTGCATTTTAGCTGTAATAAGTCATTAAGAGTTGAATTAGTCTCCTCCCTCTGCCTTGTTTTTCTAAAACATGAATAATGTTTCTGCAGCTTGTCTTTCATCCACTCTCAGCTCACCTCAGTTTCACATCTCTAGTTTGTACAGACAGAAGTAATTCCACCAAATTAGCAAGCAAGGCTGAAAAATTTAACTGGTCTAAGAGAGAGGGATCCTACTGAAGTCACAAAAATAGGATTTTTTGACTGACTTATCTTCTTTTTCTTTTTCAGCTGGATGAACTGCAGCTTTGCAAGAACTGTTTCTATTTGTCAAACGCGCGACCTGACAATTGGTTCTGCTATCCTTGCGTATGTTGCTCACACAGATTTTTATTTGTTTGCTTTTCTGTATAAAAGCTTGCAGTTTTGGTGTCATTAATGCCTTGAATATTCCATTTCAGTAGGCTTGTTTCAAAAGCATGGTTAAGACTCTGTAAGCCTAGATATTTTACACAAGTGAAACGTTGATTGAAGTTCAAAGCTCTAACAATATAGGTTATAAAACTTGGATGTCAACCAGCTACAACTGTCTCACAAGAAAATAAGGAACTTACAGAAATAAAACTTTGCTCCTGGATGAAGCTATACAGACAAGTTTAATTTTTGGGCTGCTTAAGATCTCTATTTTCAATAGACAGTTACACCCTTTTCAGACTTTCTATTTTTTTTTTTTTTTACTTTGATCCAAGCAATACATCTAACAGGAAAATATGTATTGTAAGAAGATAAAAATGAAAATAGCACTAGACATAAACAACAACCATATTCTTAAGATATTAGTATAGTATTACAGCAAAATATTTGTGGGAGAAATCAATGTAATACTTCAATAATAAATACAACATTTTTTCCAGATACCTAATCATGAGTTGGTTTGGGCCAAAATGAAAGGCTTTGGGTTTTGGCCAGCCAAAGTCATGCAGAAAGAGGACAATCAAGTCGATGTTCGCTTTTTTGGCCATCACCACCAAAGGTAATTTATTAATTGCGTGTGCTGCTTTTTACAAACAAAACTTAAAAGAATTTATCTCATCTATCATGTTGTAAATCCTGGCTCAGCCAGTTGACAATATTAGAACGACTGAGTACTTTGCCATAATTGTTTCAGAAAAGTTAAAGCTCAGTCTAACACATCTGAAGTTGCCAAATGGCTCAGAGATTCCCTTTCCACAGTTGCCATAGGGATGTTACTTAATGCCATTTTAATTAAAGAAAGCAAGCGAACTTCAACTGTTTCTTCAAATCAGTAGCAGCCTGCTAATCCAGGCCAAGGTGAAAATTGGACAGAAATGTGCTCTTGCTACCAGCAGTATTGACTCTGTGCAATTTTCTCTTCTGAGCAGCCACATTGCAATTTTGTGTTTTAGTAACATAATACACATCACAAATGTTTCTGTCTCACTGCTAGAACATTGACAGAGCTCCTGCTGTGAGTCCATTTGCAATTTCAGAGAATAACTCTTTACATTGGAAACTTCACTCTTAGAGATCAGCTTTTACTTCCGTCTCCAGTTGTTGGGGAGGGTCATAGTACTGTTACTACAATGGATGTACTGATTTTTTTTTGCTGTTTGATTTATACGCCTATAATGTGAGGAGAGGAGACGTTTGCAAAGTAATTTGTGGTTGTTGGGAAGGTGGTGTATTTTGGTGTATCCCAAAAAGGCCTAGACCATTCAGTAAGTGTTTTATGAGCCAGTTTATTTAAATTGCTTTTCATGTAACTTGCACGGTATATAACATGTTTTCATTTGTTATATGTACTACCGAGATTTTCTAATAGGCATAAGATGGGTAAAGCATCTTTATTTGTGTGACAATCACAGAATGATTTACCTTCAATCTGTTTGCAAATGAAGCTTATCTCATTAGTAGTTTTGGCATTAAGTTCACATAGCTTCAAACTACTTCATAAAGTAACATGACACTTGTGGGATAAGGTGCTTGCAACTTCTTAAACGTGTGCTGATAGAATAGGCAAAATCCATGTTACTAGAGTGCCATTGCTTAGTTACTGTGCTGGACTTGGGCAAAAGGCCAAATTCCTGGTTGGTGTAAATTCGCATTGTTTCCTTGACTTCACCGAAGTGAAATTTGTATTGCAAGAATTGAGAATCTGGTAATGGACATTTAATTTGTTACAGTATTTACTCTCTTATGTAGATGTGCATGGCGGTGACTCTTTTTCTTTAGTGTCCAATGCTGCTTGGTATAACCTTTCAAAATGTCAAGAGCTGCCCATCTAACTCTATGAGGACTCTGTGAAAATATTTAAGAGGACAAAGTACCTTTGGAGCCAAATCACTGGCATGCGTTCAGTCCAAAAGAGCATGACAGTCCCCACATAAGTTCAGTCTTGATAGACAGGGGCCCAAACTACAAAATGTCTCTGTTCGAGGTGATAATTTGGTATGTTCCTTCACAGTTTTAGCAAAGAGCTCAAGGGCTAACTTGGATTAGCATGCGAACCTTTAGTAAAGATGTTTCTGTGTCTGACTCAGGGCATTTAGCAAGACAGCAGGTAGGAGATGTGACTGCTGTTGGTGCTGGGGGAGGTTTGTCGCTCACCAAAAACAAAAGGGACTTTCAGCCATAGCACCCATAGCTAACAAGTGCTTATTAATAACACAAATGTCTAACGGTATGCAGTCCATTTTTTTATTCAAATGTGTTGAATATACAGAAATTCTGAGTAAAAAGGAATTGTCAGTCATCGGCCACTATGAAAAACTGCTTTTGAAGTCAGTTTCTCAGGTCAGGATCCTTCATCTGTATTTAACATTTCTGAATCCGTCTGTACTGTGTATTCAAAAGGGCCTGGATCCCCTCTGAAAACATTCAAGATATCACAGTTAACATCCATCGGCTGCACGTGAAACGCAGTATGGGGTGGAAGAAGGCCTGTGATGAGCTGGAACTGCACCAGCGTTTTCTTCGTGAGGGAAGATTCTGGAAATCAAAGAATGAGGATAAAGGGGAAGAGGAGGCAGAGTCAAGTATCTCTTCCACCAGCAATGAGCAGGTGAGTGCTGCCAGTGTTAGCAATCAGAGCAATTTATTAAAGGGTACAAAGATGATGTATTTTTTATTAACTTACTATTAAATTAGCCTTTCTCTGTCTGCAGTTTTGTGGTGACAAGAAGAGGGTTCAAAGGCTTATTTTCCCTATGTTTTGTGGCTCAGTAATAGCAAGAATATGGAGTTTTCCTCTTTCCTCAGTTTCTTGGATGACCTCTGGGAAGTTTTAAAATGTTTGTCGCCTACAGCACCTTGATGAGACAGACCAAGATTTCTAAAGTTAAATAGGAATGTTCAAGTTAAATGTCATGGATATCAGATAGACTGCAACACTGCCTTCTTGGACTACCATCAAGGAACAGCCCTATAGCTGTCCAGCCTTTCCACAGCTGGAGTATGTTCTCTTTGGACTGTATTCTGCATTACGGATCCCTGAGTAACACCAACCATGACATTTTCCGCAAGTTCAACTAAAGTTAGGTGCAACCATTGCACTTGAGGACCATGTGACCAGCAACTGATTAAAGTAATTAAAAATAATTCTGCAAACCAAGAAAAATTGTATTGCTTTAACAAAAGTGAAAAGCACAAAAGGCCAAGATACAAACCTTTGCATTGCCATATGGAAATTCCCTTATCACAGCTGAACCTTGCTAGTCATTCATTGTCCAAGAGGGTGTTACATATTCACTATTACTGACTTGGCAGTAAGATTTTCATAGCTTGCAGTATGCTTCCCTGTATTTTTGGCAGCCTTTTCCCTGGCAACATCTTCTTTACTCATTTAAAACCACTATCCTCTCTCAAAGTCTGTATTTTAAAAAATCAGTGTGTTTTGATCCTCTTCCTTTGCGCTTTTGTCAAATAGTTCTATCATCCAATTTGTAGCTAGAAAACTTGAAGCTTATAAAACTGGATGTCGCTTTAAGGGGGTGCTCCTTATCAAAGCAGTTTCAGGTTTTTCAGCCTGGTTTGCTTAGCTAACCCTTTGTAGTTCCTTTATTGCAGTCATGCAACAATGTATGATGAAACAGGAAACAGGTCACAAATAATAGTTATGAAAAGATAACAGTGGCATTTTCCCAGTTTTTCAAAAGTGTCCATTTGCATATTTTCTGTTCCACCCCAGCTGTTCATCCTTCACTTGGTTAATGCTTATACCCGTTTCACTGGTTTCCCAAATACAGGAACATAAGAGTAGCCATCAAACTCGGTGCTCCGCAGTAATCTGTAGTATCCTGTCACTAACACTAGCTAGTACTGGATCCTTCAAAGACAGGAGTAAGAACTTTTCTGTAAGCCATTGCACGATAATATACCATCCACTTAGATGTCACCCTTGTTTCTGTTGCTGGAGCTTTTGTGACTTGCTGGCTTCTATTCTAAAGCATGAAGTTTTGTACCCCTCCAAGCATAAAGTTATACTCAGTTATTGCAAGTCTGGATAATCTTACCATCTTTACATATATACATTCTCTTTATAATTATTGCTGTTTTCTGGCTTCCATAGCGATCTGCTGCCCAATTATGGGTGGCTGATATCAGAATATTCCAGAAAACAAGTGTTTGAACTTGTGCGTGAAATGAAGAAAAGAATGGTTAAGGGTATTTTAGCAAATGCATACTGAACGTTAGAACTTGTTCCTTCATGCAATCACAGTCATCAGTGATAGTGTGGAAAGGTTATTGTGTGCACTTCTCATTTTAGAACAGTATTCGACTTTCATTTGCTAAATTAAATAGTTGCAAATAATCACAAATAAAAGGTACATCAGTCATGTTACAATGAATGCTACTTCTATGAACCGTTTTTTGGAATGATTCAATATACTTTTCTTAATGTTCACAGCTGAAGGTTACTCAGGAACCAAGAGCAAAGAAAGGACGACGTAATCAGAGTATGGAGCTCAAGAAAGAAGTAAGTAACGGCAATTACCATATTTGTAGAGATAGAAAAGTGCAAAAAGTCTGAAATTTTAATAGACACTCCGTCAATTTCTGTCACCTTTTACTGATTTTACAGTATTTCTCTCAAAATTTCCGGCCCCATAGTTTGATCCTACTTGCAAACAAACATAATTGTACCTCCCACATACACACCAGTGGTGTCTTTGTGGTTATTTTCTGTATCATGAATAAATCAACAGTCAGCTTACAACATTATTTTTTTAATGGAAAATTCAGGCTAGTTATTAAGTCTGTAAACAGCAGAAATTATAAAATATTTTGCATGATCAAGAATATTAAGTTTATAAAATGTCATATCCACCTTTGTCCGTGGAACTTCCTTCCTTGTTTATCCAATATGCACACTGAATGATCATGTAACCGAGGGACTGTATTATTATGCTTGTACACAAGGGGGCAGTTACTGAGGCAGCCATAAATCTTGTATTTCCTTACTTTTGAGTACTTTTTCCTGGCCTTGTTTCAGCTGCATGTTGAACACTAAGAAAAAGTTGCACATATGCACAGTTCTCAGAAGGGGACTCAGGACTCCATTACAGAGGAGGGTTCAGGTGTTTTAGCACCGGAGTTCAGTGGGATGGCCCTGGTGCCTGAAATACAGACACTGCCACTCCTAATATCTGGGTACCTGTCTCCCCATTGTATCTGATACCTCAGGGCTAGCTCTGTGAGGCACTGTAATTGATGGAGGCGGTGACACACAGTTTGTTCTCCCTGGGGCACAAACTGTATCTGAGTGCAAGGTAGGGAGACCACAGTTTAGGATGTCTTGTCATTTTTGTTGTGTTTTCTGTCAAGCAAATGCTGTAATTTGCTTCATATATTTATGTCTTAACATTTGTCTTCTTAGCGCTGCTCATATTTGATCAGTGATCCAAAAGTCAATCACAGTGACTGATTAGGGAGTAATTGGTTGCAAAAGAGAGTACACAGTCAGCCTTTTGATTGGTGTGAACAGTTCCTCATCACACAGACAAGCACTAAGTCCAGTCCTGAGCAAGTCTGGTGTTACAAGGACTGTGTGCTTTGTCTGTACACTGTTAAATGAGCTTTAAAAAAATCTTAAGTTAAAAAAAAACCCCAATGTTCATCTGTGTCTTTGGACACTTCAAATATCAATAAGAGTTTGCAGGGATATTACTTCTGTCTGTTCTAAAGAGCAGGAACAATTGGTGGTACAGTGTAATAACATAGGCAGCTAAATTCCATGCAGTACACTACAGTAACTATGATTTCTTTCTTGATAATTGTGTAATTACAGAAAAATTCTGTGGTCATCCAAGTCTAGTTCTATATTATTGGAATCAAGACTTAGACGCTCATTAGCCTTTCATCTTCAAAGCACCTTTGAAGTACTAATCAATCTTTGCAGCAGTTCTGTGAAATCAGTGGAATATTACAGGCTCCAGTGGAGCCTGTTGGGCCAGAGTAAGTCCAGAGTTTGCCAAAATAATTCAGGCACCTTGGCCACTCAGCTACAGTCTCTTCAGGGAGAATGGTAGGGGGAAAAATCTATAGCAACCCTTTAGTAATCCCAAGGGATATGCAGTGATTCAGCATAGCCTCTGATGTTGACGGTACTTTTTGGGTAGCAAGGCTGGTGAGTGTGGCATACTGATGCCATACCTGTGCTTCCTTCTGGAGGGCTCCTAGGTGAAGTCAGAAAAGCCTGACCAAAGAGCCTACTCACTGTCATGCTGGTTTTCCTCAGGGATCTCATGTCCTGTTAGTACTAAAGGTCTTCAACAGACACCTTTCACAATAATTGCACTGGCATTAGTCATATAACATTTTTTTTCTCCAGGGGGATCTGAAAGTTAACTTGTTCTGGTTTGATATATGGATTTACAAGTTTGTTCTTTTGCTGTAGGAGCCAGAACCTGAAACTGAAGCAGTAAGTTCAAGCCAGGAAATTCCCACAATGCCTCAGCCCATTGAAAAAGTTTCAGTCTCAACTCAGACCAAGAAGTTAAGTGCCTCTTCTCCAAAAATGCTGCATCGGAGCACCCAGACCAGTAATGATGGAGTGTGTCAGAACATGTGCCATGACAAATACACCAAAATCTTTAATGATTTCAAGGACAGGATGAAAGCTGATCACAAAAGAGAAACTGAGAGAGTTGTGCGAGAGGCAGTGGAAAAGGTAACACTTGCTGAACAGCATCTACACTCTGGTTTGAGGAGAGGAGAAGCGTGGCTTTTTTTCACATTCTTTTCTACTTTTGTAACATCCACCCTTAAGAAAATGAATAAAAAACCTTTTCTAAAGAGACCATATAAAAATAGTCTTCATTACTGCTTTTTAGACCATTTTTATACCAAAAGACCTTAGTTTAAACAGAAAACTCCTGCTTTTTTTGATTCGTGTCCAGTGAAATCAGTTTGTGATCCAAAAATGAAACTAATTGTTCATTCATGAGTATCCATTTCCAAAGCCTTTGTCTCCATTGTCAAGTGTGGTTGTGAACAATGGCATTGTTTTAATGCTATTCATAAATAACTCTTCTTTTCTCGATCTTCTGACCTAAACATTAAACAGATGCGCTGAAATTTGTTTGAATTTTCTGATCTAATGATAACCTGTTTAAAATTCAATATCTCAGCCTGAGCTGATCACCTTTGACTAGAGAGAGCAGGACAATTTAGAGGATGATTTGTCTGACCTCTCTTAAGTACCTCTCTTAAGTACCTGTCTTAAGACGAGATGGATTTCTTTCTGGATGAAGGACTATGGAATGAACCCAGGGAGTTTAGATGTTAATCCTGTAGGATTAAGACACCAAACTTTTAGATAATTAAGCAAGGGCAAAGGAATCCCACCGACAATGAATACTAAAAGTACCTCCTACTGAACTCAGGGATGTTCTATTTTTTATTTTTCATTGAGCCCTTGCTGTGGATTTACACGCAGGTGTAGACTTGGAAAAGACAAAATCTTTGTCTAAGACAAATTCGTAAATTTGTAAACTGATCATTGACAAAATATACATGGAACTTATTTGTCTGGTTTTGTAGATGACTCATAGAATAGAAACATGGTGGCGTTTTTATTTTGAACATTTCTTATGGGATAGAAGTTTTGTTATAACTCTAAAGGAGACAACTTTTTGTTTCCTAAATAGGAGAAATCACTAATTACGTGACCTGCACCCACATAAGTAATAGACGTTTAAAGAGTCGAGGTTTAAAGGAGATAATTTTATTCCAATAGCTGTCCATTGACTTGCTTTGATGACTTTCTTACGGCAGCTACGTACAGAGATGGAAGAAGAGAAAAGGCAGGCTGTAAGTAAAGCTGTGGCCAACGCACAAGGGGAGATGGACAGAAAATGTAAGCAGGTAAAGGAGAAGTGCAAAGAAGAATTTTTAGAAGAAATTAAGAAACTAGCAGGCCAGCATAAGCAACTGATTTCCCAGACCAAGAAGAAGCAGTGGGTAAGTGTCAAAAATTTATTACAAGAGAATAAGTGGAAATGTATAATGCATACTGCAGGCCAATTGAAGGTGATTTCTTCCTTACTTTTAACTGCACTGCTCTTTCACTGGTCTTTTAGCTTTAAGGTTTTCTCCTTCATATAACTGCTTTCAAATTTTCTTAATCTCCACATTTCAACTCAAAGTTCTGATTACTTTCCATCTTAATTATGTAGTGTTAACAGCACCATCTTCTTGAGTCCCATCAGATGTTAGTATAAAAATATTTTTGTCTAAATGCATTATTACTTCGTATAAGACATGTTTAGCACTATGTTCACACTCCTTTGATCTCAAGGCTCCATAGAGTACAATATCTTGCTGCATCAATTTGGATTCCCATGCTAATAATGCTGGTAGTGATATCCTTTTGGCCTTTTCCTCTCCTAGCTTTTTCTGCAGCTCTTTTATGTTCTTTTGTATTTAGACATGACTTTCTGAAATATATTTCCCTCCCTTGTTCAGTTCTTAAGCCCAAATCTGCAGCATTGCCTACAAAAAACATTTGTATGCCCTTTAGAAAAGTGAAAACAGACATCTAACCTACCATTCTGTTACATGCTGCAAACTTTTCCCTGTTTTCTTTTGGTTTGTGTCTCCCATTTTCTTTTCAAGCCAGAAGCGTGTTCTCCCATGTGGCTGTACAGCATCTACTCAAACACTGCAAGTACTGTAATACTGTGCCGATAGCCCATAGCAGAGTATGGGCTACACTGTTACGCTGAGGAGCAGTGAGCCTGGCACACGTACAGTCTTCACTATTTCTTTGCTAATTTTCATAGGAAGAGGAAATGAAAGCCATCGTTCGGGAAATCACACTGCACTCTAATAGCTATCTGTAAAATACAGGAGGGTGGGTACGAGATTTTCTGCTCGCCTCCTTTTGAGCTTTGATTTTGCCAGATGCGGCCGAGCAGCGTGCGGGTGCCTGACCACCAGATGGCACGCTGATCTGAGCAGCGATGGGCAGCTGCTGTCCCACTGCCGCCCGGGGACAGCCAGCCCTGGCTCCGACCCGCAGCTCCCGTTTGTCTTCTGCTGTAAAGGGCTGTTTGTTTATGTTCAGCCTCATTAGTCCTTGTTCTTACAGATGAAACGATGATCCCTGCAGAGAAAACCCTGCTCTGCAGAAGAGTGAAATAAATATTAAGGCAAGACAATCGGTTGCTGACTATCACAGTTACGAGTTTGTTTTTTTGTGAAGAGAAGAATTACTTCAAATGCCAGAGCTTCTGTAGAGTCTTCATGTCTGTTCCTAGGAGAGATTTTAGTGTGGGTGTTATGATACTGCAGTGCTTGGGTCTCTGTCAGTTAGAAAATTCCTCCTTGTCTACCTGTCTCTGCAGACCAGAGAAGTTATTTAGGTCTCCGACTTGATCAAGTTACTGTGTTTAATGAGTCATCAGCTGCTGGTGTCTGCTTTTGCCTGTGGCACTTGAGAGGGCAACTGAAATGCCTTTGCCTGCTATAGAACTGTGTCAAATTAGCTCTCTTCTGTCAAAAGTTAAAAGGGCACGTGTTAACTGTTGCCACCATTCAGCTGATATGCAGTAACTCAATCACAGTAACTTGATTGTGAGTCTGGACTCCTAGCTATAGCTGCTTTGGGGTTTTTTTGAAGGCAGAATTTATGAAAGAGACTCACAAGACTTACTTTCAGCTGCTCCAGTGTGACTTTACCATATCCTTTACCCTAATCAGAGAGTGCCCTGGTACCACATCTTCTGATCGTGTGCATAAAGCCTCTTTCTAAGCAAGACAATTAAAAGATATAAAGAGCATTTGACAGTCTTGCCTATTTCTGTGGCCCCAGAACTATCTGTCAATCACCACCTTAAATGAAGGCATCATACAGGCAACTGTTTTGCATGTGGTAGGAGAGGGAGGGTAAGGATAAACACCTTTGCATTCAAGCTGATGGATCTGCCTGCCAACACAGAGCCTCAGGCGGCTGGAGTTGGTCCAATTACACAACTCCCCAGTGATTTTTCCTTCGGTGGTACTAATGACAGTCCCTGGTGTGTAGTACCACTCTTGTATGCTGCTATTATAATAATGATACCTCCTTACCAAAATCTCATGTAATTAACACACATACTAAATGAGTTTTGGTGGCTTTGCTTTTTAATTAGAAACAGAGACCTCTGGTTTTGCGTAATGCAGATGTCTAGGCTTGGGAATGCCGCTGCTATTATTCACGCTGTATTTGTGTTTGTCTCACACCTAAAAAAAAAATCCAGTCAGGATGAAGGGATATATTTCGCTGGTGGTGTACAGGTACACGAGAAGGTATGTTCCCAGCCCTCAGGAGCCTAACATATAAAGCACAACATTTTCTGTGGCTCTGACTGGTCACAGTCCCCGTGGCTTAACCCAATTTCATTTTGATACCTCCAGAAAATTTGGATTTAATACAGGTACCTCAAGTAAATAGCAAATGAAAGGAAGAAATGTAAAGGCAGGGATAACGATGAGATTATGCAATTTGATGGCCTCCAGAATACAGGCTGGAGTACCGGTCTTGATAATGGTTCTTTTTTTATTTTTCCTGGTTCTTTTATTTGCATGTAAGCCTCATTTAAATTGTTGCATAGTCCAACTTCTGTCTCTTTCAATAATATTTACATGTATATTTATTCTAACTTGCAAAAGGTTGTTTTTAAGTGCATGAGTGTTGTCTGTGATGTGTACTGTCTGAAACAAAAACCCAAGTGATTGATAATGTTTAGAAAAAGGAAAACACAAAGAAGAGACCCGAGGCCAGCTGGCATTTTGCCTTCTCTGCCACATGTGCTGATACCAGCTTAGATGACACTATTTTCCTTTTCTAAGTGGAGATTTACATCCCACGCTTATGGCCAGCATATGTAAAGGGAAGTGCAGGACCCACAGATCAGTTGTCCTCTCCTGTCTTAGCGTTTCTTGATCTCTCCAAGCAAGCAGATGCGAAGCCTGTCTCTGGGCTGAGGCCCATGCTGTACATAATGGAGAGACACAGCTGTTCCCTGCACCTTTCCAGCGGATGATCCTAATGGTTCCCACAGGCTTGTGGGCAGCCAGCAACATGAAAAACCAGGAAAACAGCTCTCGAGAGGACACTTGTTTGCAGACATTTCTGCAAATAAACATCCCCGGAGCTAAGTTATAAAGGGAAAATTGAGAGGTTCCCTTCTCATGCAGCTAGAGCCGTCCCTTTATTGCTGATGTAAATAAATAGTTATCAGTTTAGCCAATGTAAATGTCAGCTTTCTTGGATCTGTCTTTTAGAGTGTTTAGGGTTGTTGTGGTTTTGTTTTGGTTTAAGGCAGTTGGGTTTGTTTTCTTTCTAATTCTCTGTTTTATCAACAACGCTGTAGCTAGACAGGACATAAATAGTAAATTGTATGTTATTCTGTGGTTTGATAGCAGCCTGCACAGACTGTGTGATATCCCTCCCTCTGTTCCCCATCATGCAATAGGCATTTCAGACCGAATTCATAAAGATACTCTGATTTTGAGCAGACCAAATTCAGAAAGACAAATCCGAGATCATTAGAACCTGGCTTTCAAGGGCGCTGAGTGTAAGTGGCACTTTTAGCAGCAGTGCCACCCGGCTTTACAGGATTTTGTCGGAATGATAGTTAATGTTTTTGCAGCACTCCCTTAAGAGATATAAAACTACCTGGAGACAGGGCACATTGTCCGTCTGGGTGCCGTACCTTCTTGTTGACGACCAATAGTGTTGACCAGCATGCTGGTTCCTTTTTTTAGTTCCTTAGAGGCCATGGGGTTATTTTCCAGGTAGCCCTTCTGGCTGCCAGGAAACTGGGGACGTTCTCTATGCTCAGGGGTAGAAATCCTCTTGTCTGCTGCACTGCCCAGAACCAGGTATTCCTGCAGAAATCACGGGCTGTGTAGCATCTCTTTCAGGAGTTTTGTGCTGTTCTGGTTGGCATGACAAGGAACACAAGCCCGTGTAGCAATCCAGTGTACACCAGGCCTTCTCTGATTTCTGGAAGACTTGAAGGAAAAGACACTGCCTGGCTCTTCCCAGTAGCAGTGATAAAGCATGAGGTTTTGTTTTCACCAGTTTGCAGTGCTCGCTGGCAGCCAACAATCCCCAATGACAGTGGCCTCCTTGCCGACCTGCACTAAGTGGGCTGTAACCACCCACTTGGTAATGAATTATTCTTTTCTTCAATAATATTTTAGTGACTTTTGAGATTTTCCTAGCCCAAAAGGACCTTTCCCAGAAACCTCTGGGCAGGTCAGGCTTGTAAAGAAACCAGAAACACAGATTTTCAAGCTTGCACAGAACCTGTTCACGCCAGAAGTGCCTGTTGATTTATCGTAGCTTTTAAGACATAAATCAGGATGCCATTATACAAATGTAGGGTAAAAGATGGTTCCTTCACTGTGTAGCTGAAAAATGTCAGTCCACTGCCCTGAGCGATGAGTTTTCTTAAATGAGAGGTGATTTTTTCAAACGCAATAATCCAGACTCTGGAAAAATGAAAGCATTGTGCAGATTTACTAAAGATTGCTGCTTTACTCAGCACGTGTGAACAACGCCCTCCTGCCTTTGGCTGCCCCAAGCATAGATACAAGAGAAGTATTGCTCTGCATGTGCTGGTGCATCCTCGAGCAGGTGAGAACACTTGTGCGTTGGTAAGGAGGGATCCTGCCAGGGTGGTAATCTCGTCTCGTTTGTTCTCTCCAGTGCTACAACTGTGAAGAGGAGGCCATGTACCACTGCTGCTGGAACACGTCCTACTGCTCCATCAAGTGTCAGCAGGAGCACTGGCATGCTGAACACAAACGTACCTGCCGCAGAAAAAGATGAATGAGTTATTCCTTCCCTAGAAAACCACCCCGATGATTGCTATTCTCAGACACAGCGGTTTTTGTTTCCAAGAAGCCAAAATTGTTTAGAATTTGCTTCCCATTTTGCACCAGCCTTTAAACACTTTTCGTAAAAGAAATTTTGCACAGTAATTTCAGTCTTCTGTTTAATGCTCCTCCAAAATTTTGTCAGCGAAGTGAATTTAACATCTGTGGGAGCAGGTTACTTTAAATAATTTTAAACTAGAGGATTTGTTGCATTTTCAGCAAATTTTAAAACATTTTTAGGTTTTACAGAGATTTTAATCTTTAAAAACAGCAGATCTAAAAATAAAAATATCATGCAAGTTTAACGAAAGGAACATTTAAAAACTAGATCTGAATGTAAGAAGTATAGAACTGTTTCAGAAAAACGAAGCATACTACCTTGATGTAACGTTTATTTCTTAACCTTGTTGAGCTGGTTTTGTTCAGCTTAATTTTACTGTTTAAAGGCATTATCTATTGGTTATACCAGTGGGTACATGATTGAATTTAGGGAACAGGGTTGACACAGCAGGTGCTAGTCCTGCGTATTTTTTCTTAAATATTTCCCAACTGTGTTTTATTTTCATTATTTCTTTTCAATATATAACTTTTATAACAAAATATTAGCTTTGCTCTTGTAGTTTAAAATCACAGGGAACTGGGGTAATCTTTTACTGAGCTGGATCTTAGAGAAAAATGAATATTTAAATTTTGAAGTTTGCACATTTCATCTTTGTCCTAACATGAGTGCTTGTAACAAGAATAAGAAAAGCCAAAAAAACAAAAAAAAGCAACTACCTTTATTCATACATAGAATTATGAGGCATACAAATTTCTTTATTGCGCCCCCCCTTTGGCCTCCCCGATCCAACATCATTTGACTGCCTACGATCTGGTGTCACCTGGTCCATTGTAACTCGATAACAAAAGGAGAAAAAGCACTTAAGTTTCACAGAAGCCGTTATGTTTGTAGTAATGGGTCATTGCCTAATAATGAGCTCCATCACTGTACTCAGAATGAAGAATAATGCATGTTAATTTTCTTGTATTAAAGATGCCGTGATTTGTAAAAAGTCTGTATTTTGCGGAATGTCTGGATTAAGAAGCATTACCAATAGGAATGGATCGATAGTTGAAAAATGATTTTCTTTTTGTTTGTTTTATATATAGATATATGAATTGCATCCATGTTCAGAGACAATTTTTTAAATAGATGTAAAGCTTACTTAAATAGCTTTTCTTTTAAAGTGTCTCCGCATTTTAGTTTCTTTCAAAGATTGGTCTTAGACTGAGTCATATGCCCATTAATCATCCAGCTATTTTTTGAGAAGTTAGAGGAATAATTTGTAAATATTTATTTAGATCTTTGATATTTATTGAAAGCAATTACATGATGGAACGATGGAAGCTGAAGAATCAGGAGGAAAGCCTTTAAAAAAGTTTTCTCTAGGATTTGTCAGGGTCATTGTAAAGAAGAAAGTATAACTAAGACTTCTGTGAACTACCACTGAAATCCTGATCTTTTTTACTTACAGTGGTGATATACGTTAATTGACTAGATACTGCCAAATAATGCCCAATATGTTGCAGAAATTCAGTGGTAAGTTGATTGGAAAAAATAGTAAGTAGATGGTAACTTGTATTACCACAGCTACGTTATTGCCTGATAAATGTGTAATTAACTTTTGTCGCCTCTGTGTTGTGACTGTAAAACACTTCACAACTAAAAATCAATCTCGTTCAATTACTTTACAAGTTCCAAAACTTCGATCCACCCCTATGAAAGCAAGTTATTGTGGAAATATTTTTGGTGTAAAATCATTCCAGAATATGTAATATTTAACTGATAGCTGCATGAAAGTAAGATTCGTGTTACTTTGGCTTTTTTGTCTCTGTTGACACGGTTGCACATTTCCAAGTTACTACAGCGTGAAAACTGTGTGTTTTAAAGAAAAAAAAGAAAACAAAAAAAAAAAGATTGTGGCCTGGTTTTGTATAAGTTTTAGGTAAAATTACAATTGATTGTTTTAGGAATCATGATTTAAAATTAATTTTTCTGCAAATCATAAAGCTATATTAAAGTGTTGAGCTTAGCCACTATGCACATTGTAATTATTCATTGTGGCTGTCCAGTTTATGATGCATTCTGGCATTTTGTAAGCTGCTCTGACTAGCAATATATAGAGTCATTTAATGTGTTAACATTGGTTAATAAATGTATTTAAAAAAAAACCCTCACTGGAGGTGTCTGTGTTGATTTTGGCCAGTTGTCTTCGCGTCCTTGGGTTGGCGTGCATGAGGCTGCTGTTCCTACTTGTCCTGGCCCGGAAGGACCGGGGCTGTGGGTGGGGAGCGGTGCCTGAGCTGGCGGGGACCTCGGGGACCTCGCTCCGGGCTCCAGGTGAGCAGGCAGGGCTTGAGCGCAAGTCACGCCTCTCGGCACTGAAAACGGACCTTTTCAGCCCATTCAGGGCCAGCAGCCCCCAAGGGTTCATGTTCTACCCATCATGTTCTGGTTTTCATGCTGGGTCCTGCGGTGCCGGCAGCCAGGGTGGGTGTCCCAGACCTCCCCTCTCACTGTGCTCCTTCCCACCAGTGGCTCAGCTCTGCCTCCCCCCAACCCCACCACCACCCCTGAGCCTGCGCCTGCTTTGTGAATCATACCGTCATAGAATGGTTTGGGTTGGAAGGGACCTTGAAGATCATCGCGTTCCATCCCCCCGCCATAGCCGGGGACACTTCCCACTAGACCAGGCTGCTCAAAGCCCCCAAAATAAATAAAATAATTTTATTTGGCGGGACTGAGGGGGCTTCATGAATCCAGCTCCAGCCTGAATGGCCGCACCGTTCCTGGGAGAAGCAGTCTCTCCCACTTATTTTTGAAGTGAGGACTTGCTGCCGATGGGTGCTCGAGGGGGCCGAGGGCCCACGCTGGTGCTGCTGCCCGCAGGGCACGTCCCACGGCCACCCCCGAGAGAAAGGGATATTTGGGGACGAGCCACAGTCATGGCAGGTTGTTGTAGAGCCCTGTTGTGACTTCAGTGTGGCTGGAGGGACACTGTGGGAATTGGTTTCTCTGTGGCAATTAAGAATTCCCCTGTGGGAATTAAGACCTGGCAAGACCTACTAGTCCCGGGGACAGGGGGAAAATTAAAAATTATATTTTAAATATTTAAAAATCCCTCAAAAGTCTCTTTTATTATTCTGCTGTCCAAACTTTTCTCTTCTTACAGGAGTCTTAACATTTTACCCATGAGTGCAAATTTTATTAATTCATCGTGATGAAACTCAATTAAATACAAGTAGCCGGCATAGCGTGTGGATTGCAAAGGAGTCGTTAGTGCCGGCCCAAGCCACCGAAGCAGGACCAGGAAGAAGCCGCGTCCCCTCCGAGCTTTTTCCCTTCTCCCTTGCGATGACCGCAGTCAGCCCGCAGGCACAGCACCGCTCACCAGCACCCCGATGCCCCAAACCCCTGGTGGAAACGCTCCCCCACTCCCCTCCCCACATGTGTTTGCCGGTTCCAGTGTCACCAGTGGGGCCGGTATTAGGACCAAACAGGTTAAAAGCTTTGGAAGTGCCACAACAGCTTCCCACCCCCATCGCTCAGCGTGGGACCTCTGTGACCCCCCATACCCCGTCACACATCCCACACGGGGCCCTGGCACCGCCACCCCTGCAAAGCAGAGGGGGATGTTTGTCCTTGTGCTGCCCCAAATGTGCAAAGTCCCTTCCTCCAGCAGCCTCAGGGTGAGCCGGGGGTTCACTGAGCCGCTGCGTCTTCACCACCGCAGACCGGGACACATCTTGGTGCCTCCAGAGTATCAAGTCTTAAAGGCATCATTTAGCTTTTTATTGTTGGCTTTTCCTATTTTTTATTGTTATTGTTGTTATCGTTAACATTGTTGTTGGTGGTTAGTAATTTTTAACTCTGGCTATTATTTTATTTTAATAAGGAGGAGCAGCAGTTTCTGCCTCCTGCTTCCTTTAGGTGGAGCGAGCCGCCCAGCTCAGGGTTTCGTTGCCTTTCCAGATCTTGACTGACCGAGTATGTGAAATATGTTTGGGATTTGTTACCGGTAGTCAGGGGCTACCCAGCCAATTTTAGCCTCAACGAGTGAGAGCACATATGCGATGTGTGCATGTGCTTTCCAAAAGCTTTCTGAAATCAAAGGGGGAGGGACAGGGCACGGGGGGGGACACGGGGGTATCAAAAGCAGAAAGGCCCTTCTTGCATTGTTTCATGTTAAGGAAATTCAGTTGCAAGTGGAAAGGTCCATCCATTTGTGAGAATAAGAGTATTTTTGGTTTTAAGTGGAAGATGTTTAAAGGTATGTAAAAGGAAAAAAAAACCCAACAACAAAACACCAAACTATCTTGGACCTTCCAAAACCGTGGAAAAAATGTCATATTTTATGTTAATAAACCCTATTTCCAGATGTCAAAAGGATCAAAAGTATTTTAGACTCTGAGTAATGCTTTTTAAAAAATGCTGGGTTGCTAGAATTTCAAAATAGTAAAATCAGAAAAAGAAAGAGAACCCAGAGAAAATGAACCCTAAATTGCCCCTCCCGCGCCCTGTGGCTGTGCCTGGCCCAGGGCCTCTCCAGCCCGGGGCCAGCAGTGAGCCGCGGGAAGATGCCTTCAGGCTGGGAAACAGCGACGGAGGGGCTGAAATTAACTACAGTGTCGGCTTTGCAGATAATTTTTACGTAGAAGGTGACTAATAATTGAAGATTATTAGTCAGAATAAAGGCCGAGAGAGCCAGAAGGCGCCATGCGAGAAGGCAGAGAGATGTGTTTGTTTACAAAGCCACCGGCCAGTTTCTGTTAACTCCCTGGAAGTGAAAACTAAGCTGGCGTAAAGCTTCCATGGAAATAGGATTTGCCCCAGAGAGGTTCCTAAAAATAAACTTGAGTTCTGCATAGAGAAGACACTGTGAAGCGGGTTATCCGAAACGCTTTACCAGTGTTTGGAAAAGGCCTTCTGCAGCAGAAAACAGTGTTTATTAATAAAGCCAGAACACTATTTTATTTTTAACTGCTTCATTAAGGGGAGAAATATCTTTTGCAGCCAGCCACTGTGGGCCGCTGCGGGCCCCGCTTGCTGCCAGGGGAGGGCTCTGCCTCTCCTCCCGTCCTGTTCCCATGGGAAGAGCATGTGGGAGCCATGAGCCCACCACGCTTGGCCACACCAATGCACTCCTGTCCCCTGGAACAGAGCCTTCAAGGTGAAAAATGGCTCCGTTAAAAGCAAAAAGGGAATCGGTGCTGTGCACACAGCAGTTCTCGGAGCCCCTTGTCATCAGGAGAGAGGGTTTTGCCTGCCGTGGGCCACCCACGCACCTTGGCTCATCAGGGCACCCCATAACAGGTGTTGGGAGGAATTTCTGTGTCTTGTTTGGAGGAATAAGAGCTGTTTCCACGCGAGAGCTGGGCAGGTCTGGCATCCAAAGCCCGGCAGCACGGTGTGGGCAGGCAGCTCCTCTGCCGCCTGCACTGCCGCTCAGCCCCTGCCAAGAAGCAACACCGGTTCCTTCCCGAAGAAAAAGCTCAGCCAGAACCTCTGCCATGCGCGGCTTATGCACTAGAGAGCGAATTGCTTTGGCTGCAACAACACTTGACCGAGTGACAGAGCCTTTCCCTGTCTTTTCACAAGTCTGTAAAGACCACAAGTGCCGGAAAGCCTTTTATTTTTCCCCTGCAGAAAGGAAAGATGTGCAACTCAGTAATGCAATTGCTCGTTATTTTTTCCTGCAGACGCTGGAGCCAACAGCATTTTAACTCCGGGCTCCCTGATGTCGGCAGTGAGTGAGCCGCTCCGGGCTAATGGAACCGCTGGGAGTCAGTGCTGGATGCTGAGCCAGAGCCCGGGACTGCTCACGCTTCCCACTGGGAGCGTGGCGGCTGTGTTTCGGTGTGATATTTGGATGGGTGCAACACTGCGCTTGCAAAAAAAGACCCGCCAGCCCTGGAGCTTGTGTTTCACCAGCAGCAGTCGGGGAGACGTTGGGCCCCAGGAAGGGGAGCGGGGGGCAGCTCACACCGCTGGCCCCACACCGACGCAATGGCACTGCCACCACCTCCAGCCCTGAGGGCTCTGAGCTGCCTCAATGCTGTCCTGGTGCGGGAGCCGCCTTTCGAAAACCCTCCACCGGCACAACCGAGCCCGACAGCCTTTTGCCCTCCCAAGCTGCCTGGCACGGTCCCTCCTGCACCACAGTACGGTCCCTCTGGGCCCAAGGCATCACTCGGCGCCCGACCCCAACTCCTGGGACCAACTGAGGAGTTACCCCTGCCCGTGCCTTGAATGTCATCAGTGCCACCACCCCCCTTTCCCCAAACCCCACTTGATTCCCTTGAAATCCTCACCACAGTGTCCCCCGCAGCCACCCAGCTGGCCCCCCATCACCCCCTCGGGGCTGCGCTCTGTCAGGGGTTTCTCCCAGGCACGGCCCTCCTGCCCAAAGTCCTTCCTTTTAGCAGAAGGCTCTCGCGGGGGTTGTGTGTGTGGGGTACGCTCTCTGTACAGAATTAGCTGCAGCGATATAACCTATTTACAGGCGTTTCTGGTAACAGCTTGTTCAGAATTTGCCAATTCTTGGCCTAGTCTTGATCTGTGTCTGGGACCTCCCTGGGCAGAGGGAGCAGTTCCATCCCTCCCACCTCCTGCAATCCCCCTTCAGTGCAGCAAAGCAGTGTCCAGAGTCCCCCATCCCCCAACAGCCCATGCTTAAAAGAATTCATAAACGCGTTCCTGCAGGTTACTGCTCAGCGCCTCGGAGCAGAAATTGTGACATTTGTATGGCGGTTTGAAGTCCTCCAGCTTGTTGACTGACTGACCACCCAGGCCTTGTGAGGTCCTGGAGCTTGGAGGAGCTTCACTAAATGGCAGCTGTTATGGCTGAAATTCAAAGCAATGTGCCAGCGCTTGGAGCAGGAGGAAGAGGAGGAAGAGGAGGAGGACCAAT